GAGCTTTGCTAAAGTTGATGACATCCACTGTTCTCCCCTCTTCCACAAATCGTGTCATTTCATCACAGAAGGCAATCAGGTTGGTCAGGCATGATTTATCCTTGGTGAATCCATGCTGGCTTTTCATAGTCACTTTCTTCTTCTTGTGCCTAGAAATGGCTTCCAAGAGGGTTTGCTCCATGATTTTCCCAGGAAAAATTGAGACTGACCAATATGTAGTTCTTCAGGTCATCCTTCTTGTCTTTTTTTGAAGATGAGTGAATAATTTGCCTTTATTCAGTTGTTGGAGACTTCTGATCTGCACAACTTTTGAAATATGAGAGAATGGCCTCGCAGTGTCATCATACAGTCTCTCAGCATCTTCCTACAGATCCCATCTGGTTCCCCTGGCACTTCCGTAAGCTGAAATTTCTTAAGAGATCCCTGGCTTAATTCTCTTCTAGTACTGGTAGTTCCTCTCCTCCTTGAACTCTGTAGGTACAAAGGACCACAAGACCTTGCCAGTGAAGTCAGAGCCTTATGTGCATCCACTGTCGGTAAATCACCTGACCTATTTAGCAGCTGGCCCACATTTTCATTGTTCTTTTATTGCTCATGTGGTGATAGAAGCTCTTGTTGCCCATAACATCCCTTGCCAGTTTCAACACCAGGTGAGGTTGGGCTTTCCTAACACCATCCCCTACACGTCCAGGCAGTTCCTCCTTAGTTGCTTGTTCTTGCTTCCACCTCTATATTGGTTTTCTGCATTGTCATTCAATCATGACTTCCCTGCTTAGCTAGAGGCCATCTCCTGATACATCTGCGTGTTTTCCTGAGTTTTATGCTTGGAGGAGGTTGTCCTGAAAGACCTACTAGCTTTCCTGAGCTCCGTTTCCCTTCAAAACTGCTTCTCGGGGGATTCCACTAATCAGTTCCCTGAACAAGCTGAAGCCTGGTCTCTGGCTGTGTACTCTCCTGTTCTTTCCTTGCCGCCCTCAGGATCCTGAACTCAGTTATTTGTACAGTGAAGGCTGCCATTGATTATCACATCTTCCGTCAGTTTGTCCTTGTTTGTGAGTAGCAAATCCAGAAAAGCATCACCCTTCACTGACCCCATAGGATTAACAAAGCCTAGGGTCCCATCTCCTTCACTTTGGTCCCAGAGCTGTATAGTCCTGATCTGCACTAGGCAACATCTTTGGTGTCCACGTGGATGTGCAACAATGGGTAGCAGTCCAAGGAATGGAAAATAAGTGGCAGTCTCTCAGCAATGTAGTGGATCAGGGGCCCTAAAAAAATAGAAATGTGTTGTAACAGCATGATGGTTTAGCAGTTGTGTGCCTTCATCTTTCACAGCAGGGAATCGCCAACCGTGGTCACCCACCACTTCCTCTTGCTTTCTGCTAATACTCTGTTCAAGCTCAGTTGGTTTCAAAGTCTTCCTTAATGGAGCTTGTTCTCCCTCATTGATTATTAGGACACTTTATCAATTCTGTAAATTCAGATCTGAGGGCAGAGAGAAGGAGTTTTTCTGCTGCTGCAAGAAGTCACAAATTTCTAGCCTCCCCCATCTCAGGAGTCCCTATGAACCTCTTGCTCAAGCGTAGCCTCTGACTGTCCCTCCTGCCTTGCCTCTGCAAGGTCTCTATGAAGAACTGCTCATTTTCTGGTCATCCTCCTTGATTTTTTACAGTCTGCTTGCCTGGAATGGTTTGTCCACCTAGCATTGCTATGCAGTGCAGAAATTAAGAAACCTCATGGAAATAAAATTTTGGAACAGTTAATCTCCTTATTCCTTAGTCCTAATAAAGGCTCACTGTGTGCACCAATATTTAAGTTTGTTACCCTCTGATATAATAAAAATTGATGTAGGAAGTTGAAGGGTGATAAGAAAGAAGAATGAGGTTCCAGAAGTTTTTTCCCTCTAGGAAAAACATCTATGTGTTGTTCCAGTGTTGACTATTGCTATGCACTGCTCACAAGTCTTGTGTCCTTTTGTATAGCTGCATCTGTTCATTCACTCTGATGCTCAAACCCCTTATTTATACTTTTTGGCCAGCTGCAATATGTTGAGTGCTGCGTGAGCTAAAAATGCTGCCCTTCCCTCTGAGGCTTGCAATGTAAAATAATCAGGGGGAAATCAAGACAGAAAGTAGAAGCGTGAATATGGTTGCTGCAGCTGGAATCATACAGAGATAAATCTGAAAATGAGATGCAGAATAGAAAATGAATATAAATACCTTTCATGCCAATACCCAAACAGCACAGGGGGGTGAACTTAAAAGCAAAAAGTAAGTTAATTCAGGAGATCTCTAGGCTTACCTGTGCGTGTGAAGATTTTGGGGTACTATAGAATAGAACAGAGGGTGGAGCTGAAGAATTAAAAAAGAATGATCTTCTAGAGCAGTATTGTATTTTCTTTTGCTTTTCGTGTTTTTGTATGACCCTGAAAATGTTACAGGATAGACAGAGAGATGATCATGGTGATGAGTGACTCTTCAAGTAGAAGAGAAGTTTAGACTGTAAATGCATTTTAGGGATGGATTTAGCTGTGAAAGAAAAAGCTTGGGAAGGCCCTAGAGTGCTGTAACCCCATTAGTCACAGTGGAAGAGGTAAAAAGGCTTGTTAAAAAAATAAGTGCACATGGAAAAGGGATGACAGAAGGGTGAAAGCAGCAGCTGCACCCTGGAGGGAGCGGACAAGCTGGAGAAATAGGTTGCGAAAGAGAGGAGGCAATTTTTGTTGTGACTGCCCACTGTCTAAATTCCCCCTCTTCGTATCTGTATTAGCTCAATGTCGCATTGACCCTCCCTCTAGCAAGCAGAGTGAGGGGAGGAGGCTTCCACACTTGTCAGTATAGGTTCTTCAGTCAGAGGAGGAGGATGCACTGATATGACACTAGTTATTTTATTAGTATGCGGGTCAAAATAAAATCTGGCAGCAAAGCTTTTCAGAGACTTGGGTCAGTCCTCCCCTGTGATCTTATTGTACAGAGGCTGGGAGGTGGTTTATTTTCCTTATGCTACTATACGGTGCACTGCAGAAACAAAAAATTCTAATTCTGGTGGAAATCAAAGCCGGGAAGCTTCACCTCCTCGCTCCTTAGCCTGAGTGAAGATTCATTGTGTGCACCAGTGCTGGAGTTTTGTTACCCTCTGATCTGATGAAAAAGTGAGTTAACTTTTTCCACCTTAAAACGCTTTCGATCACTTCCCCTCCCCCATCTAAAACAGACCTCCATGGTACTGGAGTCTCATGCCTAAGTGGGTTTTGCTGAAATTCTGTGCCAGTACATGACAATTCCCATGTCTTCTTCCTGCTGCAAGAAAAAAAATAAATCTTTAAATATGAAAGTTAATCAAGTCTTCTTTTACTCCAAGTGGCTGTTCTTGCAAGCTAATTAAAATAATTCAGATGACTGAAAAAGATTTTAATTGACTTAGGATTGCAGTTTAGAAAAAAATTATTTCTATGTGGAAAGACTTTTTGGGGTTAAGCCAGCATCCTAACATGCAAGAAAGTTGAATTCAGCTGTTACTGTGTTATGGATTCGCTTCATAACTCTGAGAAATGCCTTCACCTTTCTGCAAAATGTCAGTTTTAATGGTCCATTCTCACACTTTGTCTTATGCATCAAAGCGAAATAGGCTCTTGCACTCAGAGGGTTCCCGTAGGTTTAGGAAGCTGTCCTTGAGGCTGAGATTCCGGGCTTAGTAAGCTGACCTACTGGGCTTGTTCCCAAGGACCTGGTCCTACCTGAGCTCTTCCACCACCTCTCCTTGCCTGCCGCTCCTTTGTGGCAGCACTGGTGTCCGTGCAGCCACATGTTCATGCGATGAGGAGAATGACTCATGAACATTTAGATAGGTCAGTAGATGGATTTACAGACCAATTTCTAGACACGTCATTTCCTTAACTAAGTTCACTGGAGACCATTATACTAATAGAGGGGAAGGGGAGGTCAAGCTTGGCTGGGGTTGGACCTGTTTGGAGAGCAGGTGGCATCACACCTTTGGCGGTATCTGCCACGGAGATTGACTTAAAGCAATTACAGGACTGCAAAACCGAGGTACTGCTTGCTAGGGAGACATCTGGGCTTGTAGGGAGTTCGGGGCAGAGACCATATCTCCCCTGGTGAATGACCTTATTCTCACACATCAGGGCTTCCTTTCAGCACTCGATCATCTACAGTCGAGGTTATTTGGTTTGGTTTTCCCTTCCACAAGATACAGGGATTTCCTGCGTGATCGTTTTCTTTCATGAACTGCTTACATGCTTGTCACTTAACTTCCTCCGGCTTGGATGGAGAGTTGTAGGTAACATGTTGATTTTAAAGTTAACACAGGTACATTTATGTTCTTCCTGACATGAACGTTATACTGCTTTATCTCATTTTTCTATTTGTGTAATACGCAAGTCTCAACTTCCTTTAGTGTAAAGCAGGAAACTAGAAAGGGGAGGATAAAGCTCTGCATTCTCTGACACACACACACACACAAATTTCTGTGTGTTTGAAGTGCCTCCTTTCTCTAGAATATTTGCATGCCTTTAAAAGTGGTTGCTGAGTGTATCTGAAGCATTCACGGTAGGTGCAGTCAGGTGATGGCAAAGCATGGCTTTGTTGAGAAGAGCTGGCAATTCAAAATAAGCCCAGGACATTATGTCCCAAAAAAGAGAAATTCCGTTGCAAAGTAACTTGCTGCTGTTAGGGCAAATCTGTGTGCCACTGAAGTCAGTGGTTTAGCTGCAGTAAATGTAATCTCTATCACAGGTATGACCAGTTGCCGTGTATAAAAAAGAAGTTGTGTGAGAATTAAAATGTTACCCAAAGTGTTGTCTAAAGTTGAGTTCTCCGAGACTGTTTCCAGGGATTCTTCCCTTTTCCCTTTTCCCTTTTCCCTTTTCCCTTTTCCCTTTTCCCTTTTCCCTTTTCCCTTTTCCCTTTTCCCTTTTCCCTTTTCCCTTTTCCCTGTATAGCTGAGTGATTTAGTAATAGCTTTCTCTTATATCTGATTTTCAGGAGGCACAATCAATCAAGAAATTACCTACCTTGATTCACTCTGGATTAGTGGCTGTTTATGGCACAGTTGTTTTGAATCAGATAGTTCTCTTTTTGGGAACCGATGATGGACAGTTACTGAAGGTAAGCCGAGTGTGGCAGTTCTTCCCTTCTCCATCAGCTGCTGCTGTGTACAAGTGGGTAAATGTTTTCTGGTTTAGGCACTGTCTTATAAACAGATATAATCCCCTGAACTCTATTTCTTTTTTGTTTGTTTGTGAAGTAACTGCTCTATTGTTACTTGGAGAGCACGATAACTTTCAAAAGCAATTATGTACCCTGCTTAAAATTCATGGAAACGTTTCATTAAACTGCTAATGCTTACAGTATCATTTTATGGACTGTGGAGTTCTCAGTTACTCTGTCTTTTGTTTCCTTCCTTGCTTTGATTTTCCAGTAGAAATATTAAATATTGTTAGATTTTGGAAGCATATTTATTTGTTTGTTAGCTTATCCATGTGATGTGAATAGCTGCCTGTTAGGGAGAAAAGTCAAGATTATTTTGCCTTAGCTTCTGAATAATTGACCTATGCTAGCTTAAATCCATCACCTGGAAGTGACAGTCATCTTATCTCATTATCAAACTTTTCAACCATCCAGTCAAATGTCTTTTACACTTTACGTTTTTTCTGGATTTTGCAAGAATGTGCATTCGCTGTCTACACTGCAAAGGATGACTCTCAGTTTTGGTTTTTATTAAGCAGGCAGTTGGAGAGGAATATAGTAGAGAGCTTGAAAAGCTTTTGGCCATTTGATTTCACTATGCTTTCGATAATGAAAACTGAAATTGAAGTCTTCCCTGTCTCTTTAGCACAGTGGAGACCATGAACGTATCTCCCTTGTTTAGTCTTGTTTATGGAAAACCTTATGTCAACGTTGGTGTGCTTATTAACTTGCGAAATAAAGTTTCTGTGGTCTCTGGTTTTCTTGAATTCTGTGCGAAGCATGGTGGAAAACTGTAGAGTTGGGCAAGGTAAGAAAAAGAAATACCATCTCAGGTGCATACTCACAAGAAGCCACAAAGAAACTTCTGTCCTGAAGACAGTTGTCAGTCAGTTGCGTAGGTTCCTGTTTACATTACGGGTGTCTGGATGTTAATTTGTTTTCTGAATGCTAATACTTTCTTCTCCATTCATAGGAGTACTTAACACATTAAGACTTTGGGATATATGCGTCTCATCCACATTCAGTTTCTGCATCAATCAGGAACATACTTGGTGGGAGGAATGTTTCATACACTAAACCGGTGCCAGATTCAGTGCAAAATATGTCTGGCATGGATTTTGTTGAAATTCTGTTCTGGTGGTCTTTTTCTCCATTTTTCTGCGGTGTGAGAGCCAGCGCAGTAGGTGAATTGAGCCAATAAATCGTCTCAGAAGCTGTGATGTAGCTGAAATTAGGCTTTTGTTTAAAATGCTGACTGATCAATAAAAGGACTTGTGAATAATTTAATCTCGTGTGTTTTAGGCTATTCTTAATGAGGATATGGAATCTAATTGCCCAGAGGTTTTATACGAAATAAAGGAAGAAACCTCAATTTTCCCCAAACTTCGACTTGATCCAGTAGATAATAACTACATCTATCTGTCCTCTGCCAATAAGGTAAGCCCGATATTAAATAAAATAATAAATTCAAGTAAACTACTGCTTTAAGGATTTCTGCCACTTTATAAGTGAAGCATCAGTTTGGGTCAGAGTTAGACCTTATATGTCCAAATGGCAGTTACCAACTTTACGTCTAATATCTGGTTATATTGTATAAATTTGGGCTGCACGTCTCCAAAGTTCAGAAGAGCCTCCACTGTCATGGTGTTGCCCACTGTTGCTACACCCTTAATCCCACGCTCATTTTATGTCATTCTGTCCAGAGAGTCTTTGTTTCTCTTTTTCCTGGAGTCATCATGCAGAATCAAGCTTGGAGGTAGCAAACAAAACTGGAGTTCCTCTGAATTAGCAATACAGGTACTGGTAGGCCAGGGTTTTCTAGTCAATTATGGAGTTTCTAATGTGGAGAAATCTCTATTAATTTGAGAGATAGGCTCGAAGTCTTAGTTCTGCTGAAATCAGTGATAAAAGTCTCATCATCTTCAGTTAGAGATAGCAAAACAAAACACAATCAGAAGTGATAAACGTCTATGTATAGTGAGGCCAAGGAGTTCAGCAATCACTGGGAGCTGCTGCATGTGAGCGTCAGAGCTGCATCTCAAGCAGAGAGCGGCTCCCAGGAGCCAGTGCAGTTGTTGCAGCACATCCTGCGGTGGCTACTGAGCGTCAACTCGGCAAATTCCTTTGTCTCACCAGCAGCAGGGAACATGGCAGTGAAAACATAAGGGCTGTCTGTCTATCTTAGCTGGACAGGATTTCACCCAGCACTTGATTACCTTCATTTACAGTAAAATCACTTTTCCAGCAGTGAACATAGCATTTTAGCCTGCCATCTGAGAGAGTGGGTAAGTTGGTAAGAGAACTCCTGACTGATACAAACCATCTGTCACAAATGCAGAAGGAATCAAAATTTCAGTCAAAAGTGTGTGTAGATAATTCAAAGTAAAGACTTGAATTTTCTTTAGCTTTGGTAAAAGAGCAAGTTGTCATAGAGGAACAACAGCTTTTAGGTATAAATGCCTCTGATCGTCTCTTGGAGCTTAAATAAGGCTTCTGCACTGTCTTTTTTAACTTAATAGTTGTCTGTGATGTTGGCTGATTTCTGAACTGATTATCTCACACACCTTCAGATAAATAGAATTTTACAAGATATGGCTGGAAAAACCAGTAAATATAATTCTGCAGAAAGCCATGTACCATGTATTCTTCTTTCCATTCACAAAATACAGGAACTTTCAATTCTTGCTAATTTGTAAAAAAAATGATTTTAATTAGGAATATTTTTCTTACTAATATTATTGATTGCCATTGTTATTAATGACATTATTTGTATTTGTATTCAGTATTTGTAATCTGCTTTCTCTTTTTCTTTTTCCTTTCCTTTTCTGAAAATGGCTGGCTAGGATATTCGAGCTGAATGTACAAGTATAGCTACATACAATATAGCCACAATTATCTACATTTACTTATTGAAATGGCATTTTCATGCATGTTAAGTAGTTGCATGCGTTTGTTCTAGTGTGCACATGCAGTTACCTGACATGGTGATGCAAACACAGATGCATTTTGGTTTGTGCATGCATTTTTGGATGCACCTTCATCAATCATTTAAAAATCTCAGTTCTGATAAGAGGAAAATGATATCCTGCTAAGCAGAACATTATTTGTAAAATATACTTCCTTTCTATTGTTATCTATAATTCACTATGCTAATTAGGCTTTCCTGCATCACTTTGTCCATGCTGGCCTTGTCATTGTCAGAGGAGTTTCATCATCTGATGGCTAAATACAGTGTGTGTAAAATAGGCTGCATATTTCTGTCCAAAGGTCTTCTGGCAGAGGGGAGTCCATAAGGAAACTTTCCTGAAGGGATCGTGCGTGGTTGCTGTCAGATTCTTAGTGCTAACCCTCGCTTTCCCTCTTTATGGAGACTATTTTAATTCAGTGTGTTATTGCACTCTTTGGTTTTAGGTGAGAAGAATACCAGTTGCAAATTGTGGTAGATATGTTTCCGAGGAAGAATGCTTATCTGCAAAGGATCCCTACTGTGGGTGGTGTTCTTTGAATAAAAGGTATTTTTTGGTATTTTAGACTTTCTTATAAAAGCAATGCATTATTAGGCAGTGTACGTTTTGACTAGCTTGGGGCTATTCAGTATCAAGATTATATCTACTGAATTTTTATGGAATCAGTCGTAGCCATAAATGTGAGACACTTTATTGTCATGTGAAAGGGAGCTCTGCACCTTTTAAAGACCACATTAACCTTCTGATTTTTGAGATGTACCCATAAAATGTAAGTTGGGCTAAAAAGAGGAAATTATTTTCATTTTAGAACAGATGCCTTTGCTTTCCAGATTGATTAAGAGATAAAATTGTATACTTGTGCTTGA